GGGGTGGTGGTGAGGAGCTGTCAGCAGGCACTCTAGCTGCCACAGCTGAGCCCTCTCTCTCCTTCAGACTGCACATTCATGTGCTCTCCATCTCAGATCTCTTTACCTTTCTCTGCCCTGCTGCCAATATCTCCATCCAGTCAGCATGACCTCTCACCTGATCATCCCCAGCCTGTGCCACCTTCCCATCCATTGTCCACACTGAACCAGAGAGCTCTTTGACATTGCAAACTGTCACCCCCTCATTGAAGCTCTTTGTGATCTTCTGTTGCTCTCAGTACAGGATCCAAACTGCCCAGCACGGTGTTCCAGGCTCCTTGTGATCTGGTGCCTGCTTACTTGCCCAGTTTCGTCTTTTTCCGACTTTCTACTTCCCACACCCCCTTCCTTTTGCCACAATGCTTCACCTTACCACCCACCCACCCTTCATCAGTCATACTACAATACTTGTGTTTCTGTATTTATACCGTTTTCTCTTTCGCTTTGGCCTTGGTACTTGGAAAATGCCCAGTGTCCTTCCTTCTTCCACCCCGTACAACCTTGGGCTGGATGACTACTCTCCTTTAGGATGAAAGCTTAAACATCACCTCCTCTGAGAAGTCTTCAGGGTTAGCACCCCCTTCTGATTTGTTATGGCTGAGTAGTGGGTTGCTCCCTGCCAATTCCCACTCCCGGAAGCACTGTGTTTCTTACTCCCTCTTCTGCAGTCTAACCCAGTGCCCTCCTCTTAACTAAGCCCTTACTAAACATTTGGTGGCACCATGGACCAAGTGTACCTGGCCCAGGGAAGTGTGCAGGGCCAACACCAGGTGGCGCTGCGGCCACGTGCATCAGGAGGGATCCTGACGTTGCCCTGGCAAGGCTGGGCCTCCTCTGTGGTCCCCATGCCTGCTTTTCGAGGCTCCGGAAGGGTCTCCTGCAGTCAGGGACACACTTTGTGCCACGCTGTGATGTTGGTGACACACGTTTGGGGACAGACTCTGGCCCAGGCCTATGGAAGCCCTGAGTGTCTCTTTTCTTCCCCAAGACCCTCCCCGATCCGTGCCTTCTTTGAAAGCCCCCAGTTCTTACCAAACCTGTTTCCTGCCTTGCTTAACTACGTGACTTCAGTACTCAAATTTAGGATTCTGTGCTATTCAAGGGCTTGCTTGTCAGAGTAATCCTTCCTTTACAGCACTGGTGCCCCGAAAACAGCACACAAAGCCTATTAACTGTCCATGAAATGTGTAAATAAATGATGAAAGAGAATGCTTAACATGGGTATTTCAAGTATGATGGCTGGAGAGAATTTGTGGGGTTTTTTTTTCCTGAATATATCAAATTCGACTCCAGAGGTAACTGTTAGTATGGTCACTGTGTCCAGTTAGGCACAGGAGATAGAAACAGCAGGGTGTTTTCCTGGACTCTACCCTGCTCTCCTATGAGTGGGTTCCATCAAACTGTTCTTTGAGGTTCTTTTATATTATTTCACAAAGGTGGTGAAGTTGAAAGAGGTCTGCATGAAAGTCAGAAGATCTATGTTTGGGTATGAGCCAACACTTTGGGCCAAGTTGCTTTACCAGCCCGCGCCTTAGTTCCCTAGTCTGCTGACAGAGGTCAGGACCCGGGGCCGTCACTCAGGGTCTCGCATGGTGTGTGAATTCCTGGGAGCCACACTGACTGCTCCCCACTTGCTTTATCTGTGAAATAGAAATCATAGTTATGATTAGCTAATAGGGTTTTTTTTTAATTGAGATAAAATTTACATAACATGAAATTAGTCATTTAAAAATATACTGTACATTCATAATGCTGTGCAATCACCACCCATATTGAGTCCCAAAACATTAAAGCCCATACCTATTAAGCAGTCACTCCCCATTGCCGCCTTCCCCCAGGCCTTGGCCGTGACCAGGCGGTGTTGTCTCTACGTATTTGACTATTCTGGATATTTCAAATGAATGGAATCGTACAACCGTGTGACATTTTGTATCTGGCTTCTTTCACTTAGTGTGCTGTTTTTGACATCCCCCCACATTGTAGCACGTGTCAGTACCTCATTCCTTTTTATAACTGAATAATATTCTGTGGTATGCTTTTACTCTCTTGCCTTTGTACGTAATCTCTTCTCTCATTAGTGGCTTTGTCCCACTCTCTGCCTATCAAATTGCTATTCATCCCCTGATGCCCACATCTCAGGCTACTTCCCCAATTCCTGTGGCTCTCTGTTTAGGCATTAATATTGTACTTTTCTCACTGTTCCATAATAATCCATGTGTACCTCCCTTTCTCTACCCACTAGGGAAGTCTGGACTCCCTAGGAACAGGGACAGAACTTTGTTCATCTTCAGGTTCGTAGCACCTAGCAGACCTGACCAACACTATCTACCCAACAAATATCTGTTGAATTAGTGAGTGAGGAGATTCTTTTCACATTTGTCAAGTTTACACTTATTACACAAAAGGAGTAGGCAGTAGTGTGGAAACAGCTCAGGATAATGCACTGTTACTATGATCCTAAATCTGGGGTCATGTGGAAATAGTGCATTTGAAACTTGGTGGCCTGGGACAAGTTGAACCACCTTTTGTTCATCTGTTTGTTTGTGGATGGACATTTGGGTTGTTTCTACCTTTTGGCTATTGTGAATAATGCTGCTGTGAATATGACGTATGTGTATTTGTTTGAGTTTCTGTTTTCAATTCAGCTCCTAGGGTTTTCATGAGGACTGGGCACATGCTTATCACATGGTGGGGGCAGAATAAATGTTAGGATTGATGTTATTAATTTTATCTTGAAGTTGTGTAAATAGGGCCCCACGTGGGTTCTTTCTCTTGCCGTCTCACACACATGGGAGCTGGATCTCGCTTTCTCCCACTACTGGTTTGTAGCCTGTATGTCTCTCCATTCCCCTCCTGCCTGCTGCCGTGGCTGGTGTGGCAAACCAGGGAGGGGGGGGGTGAAAGAGGCAGGGGAGAAGTAGTGGAAATGCAGAGGGGGAGGTGAGCGGCTGGGAACGACTGGACAGGTAGTACGGAGGAAGGGGCAGAGGCAGGAAGGACACCAGGTCCGGAAAAAGCAGACCCTGAGGTGGGTCTAAGAATGAGGAGGGCACGGGGTTGCTGCTTTCCTGCTCCAGTGGAGGGAGGCGGGGTGAGGCTGGGGCCGGTACCACCAGCAGCCTCTGGTCAGGACTAAGAGGTACCTCAGGAGAGGATGTGCAAGGGAGCAGGAGGTGGCTGGAGTGAACTGATGTTTTTGTACAGAAAGAGGAGATTCTGATAGTGTCTGGAGCACTCTGTGGGGGTGGCTTTAGGGCCAGAAGCTGGGAACAAGCTCCTGGGGTCGTCAGCTTGACATCAGGTGACAAAATAGTAACAAGAAAATGCAGGTTTGAGGAACACGAATGCTGCCAGGAAGGCAGTTGATTTGGGCTGTGGATGAGATTGTTGGAGTAGAGTCTGAACACTCTGGGTAAAAGCTCCTCAGGAGCTGAGAGGGAGGTCTCCAAAAGTGTGGCGTGTGGTCATCTGGAATTCTGGCACACCTGTACCTCTGGTGCTGGAGGGAGCAAAGAAGGATCCGCATAGCTTTGGTCAGAGCAATTTCTTCTTAATGTGGAATAGAGAGGCCACGACCTAACAGGCAAAGGCCTCCTTCTTGCCCTGGTGTCCAAGAGAACTGAGAATAATTACTCACATTTGCATTTATATAGTGTGAATTAGAATGCAGGTCTAGGTGGAGGGAACCCATAAGATGGCTCTTAGGAGGTGCTGTAGGAAATGAGGCAGTCAGGCACGCGCATCCCTGACTTACCTCTTCTGGTCTGTTTTCAATCTGAGCTTCCCTCCCTCCAAAGTTAACCAATATGATCTTTGTTGGGGAGAATTTATAGCTTGTATTGGAGAGGAACAGCTTTAGAGAGCGTTAATCTGAGAGTTGTCTTCTCTGATGACAAGAATCCCCTCCTAATGTGGCGCTCAGGAGAAATATCAGCACTTGGCCAGGGATGGGGGGCCCTTAAGCCAAGGGCAGATCCATTCTAACGCCATCTTTCTGCATCTTGAATGCTGTGTTTGCATAGCCTTCAACCATCTTGCTCCCTCATTCACAATTCACATTAAAAAAAAAGTAGTTTCTAGAGTCCCTCATTTACATTGGTCAGTGAGCTCGTAAGATGATTAGTTGTTTTTGGAATAGGGAGGAACTTTCAGATCATTTAATCCAATCCTTCCATTTGACAGAGGAGGAGAAACCAGAGACCTTGAGATTTGCTCAGACATCCCTGGAGCCGCGTCTCCAGGCTCCCAGGCCAGTATGCTTTCTACTCTTGTGCAGGTTTTGAAAACTCCAGCCCCACTGCAGGAGTCTGTATGTGGCCAGGGACCTCTCAGGAGAGGATGCTTCACTGCACCCACTCTTCTCTTCTTGAATATTTAAATCACAAAAGCCAAACTGCAGAAAAATAAATATTATGTCTATTTGTCAGGAGACAGTTAGTGTCTATTTACCCTTTTCTGTCCTCAGAATCTAGGTGTTAATGGACACTAGTCTGTTAATCAAAACATGCTGGTTCCTGGCAGGGATCATTCAGTGTTGAGAATCTCAGTCAAGACAGAAACAATAATAGTTAATATTTAGACCAAAGACGAGAATATTAAATGTGGAGTCAAAGGGGAACATGTAGAATGCTAAATAAGAGAATAAAGCATATAGGGTTGACTCAAAAAGGAGAGTAAAGGGAAGTAAGACTTTTTATTTTATGGCAGGAGGAGGGTTTCAACTATATGAAAGTGTATCTAGGAAAAGCTGTTTATTTATAACTGTTGTCCAGGCTGGAGAAATCAGATGTTCTCTGGACTAAACAAGTAAGTAAGAAATATGCTGAGCACATAGTTGGTCTAAATGAAAGTTGGGAATTCTGAGGTTCGAGGCTGTTCCTTGGAGAGGCTGCTGCCACCCCGTAGGCCAGAAGCAGGTGAGAGGCCGAGCTCTGCTAATGTGCTGTGAACTCTTCTGTCAGATGGCGGGCACGGCACGTCATGACCGAGAGATGGCGATCCAGTCCAAGAGGAAGCTCACCACGGCCACCGATCCCATTGAAAGACTCCGACTGCAGTGCCTGGCCAGGGGCTCCGCAGGCATCAAAGGTCTTGGCAGGTAGGGTCCCGGCCATGGGGAGGAAGGACACTGCCAGGTGAGGCTAATACTGGCTGTGTGACCTTGACCGAGTCTTATTCTCCTAGGGTCTCAGTTCCCTATTTGTAAAATGTAGTTTGGAAGACTTGATCTCTGAAGCATCTTGTAACCGTTTTTGGTTCTTAGTCCCAGATTCAGCAAGGCTGTGTCTGAGATGAGAGCACAGCCCCTGGGACAACTTGAAGTGAAGAGAGAGGCGTGCCCAGGTCCCAGCGACACCCAGCAGGATGCGGAGAGGGACTCTGCTAGAAACTGACAATGGAAGCGAGCTTGGAAGAGGGAGGAAGTTGCTTTCAGGCAGTCACATCTTGCTGACCTCCACGGGGCACTGGAATTGCCTGTGGGATATTCACTGCCGGTGGGCTTCTCCCAACTCCATAGGACCTGTCCTCTGGCCCTCTGAGAGTGTGAGAAGTCCTCAGGACCAGGAAACCCAAGGAAAAAGAGATTGTAAGCCTCCAACTGGCAGGATCTCTTTTTAACAGACTGCATGGAATGCCTGCCATGGGCCAGGTGTTTGTATGTTTGTGGGTGAACAAGGCTTCTCCAGGCCCCAGGCAGGACTTAGACTAAGGAAATTGACTGTCACAAAAACCAGAATCTCCGTGGTTATGTTGTAGGTTAGAGAAATACAGGGCACCACAGCAGGGGCATCCGACCTCACATGTGGAGGTTATAGACAGCTTCACTTACAGTGAGGAACTTACTGAGCATTGGGGACATCACTTTTAATAGTCTCAAATTCTCAGACTAAGCCTGGCTCTGTCAGAAGCCCAGGCTGTGGGTATGTGGACCCTGGTGGCCCAGGCAGTCACAGTCCAGTGAGAAGACTAGCCCATTTCTCTTCAATACTGTGTCACCCCAACCTACAACCTCCACGTCTTTCATCCTGGAGCCATGTTATTGTCCGTGGTGCAAATCCCTCAGGAACACTGCCCTCTGTCCCACTCACTGGCCCACTCAGTTGAGTCCTTCTTACTGCCTACCCACCCCCCAACCCCTCCTAGCCCTTCCAATATGAGCCAGTCTATTGGCTCATCCTTGGCCTTTTGCTCCACTGTGTGCTCTGCCTTGGCCCCTTTACTAGTTTTTCCCTTCCCTCAATCTTTCCTCAACTCAAGTGGAAGCTGCTCCCTAGTTTTCCTCTTCATGGGACCACAAAAGTAAAGTGCCATTTTCATCACATGATGTCAAGGATACATACTGTCAACATGATTTATCGGTATTGGTATTGACCTTGATCACCTGGCTGAGGTAGTGTTTGTCTGGCTTTTCCCATGTAAAGTTACCATTCCTCCCCAACCCCATTCCATACTGGACTGGAAGGAAGGAAGTCTCCATGCAAAGCCACACTTAGGAAGTGGGGAGTATGCTTCCCTTCTTGAGGACAGAGCGTATGTGCATAATTTATTTGGAATTCTACTCAAGGGAAATTTGTCTTTTCTAAATAATATTTATTTATTTATT